CCCCAAAACCCCAAAACCCCAAAACCCCAAAACCCCGTGAATAAAGATCAAACAATAAATATACAACGTTAACTTAATAATTAACTTCAGGTAAAATGGATAATATCAAAACTCCTTAAAACGTTTAGACTGGGAAATTCAACTTACTTTCTGGGAAAACTACCTCAAGAACAACAGCTCAGTAGACTTTGTTAGGTAATTCAGTAATAATAAATAATTATATAGGAACTCCCTCCTCTAAGTTTATGGGGTCGATGTCTGGAGGAAACACCTATGGGCTTAAAAAGAAAAGCTCACTTGAAAAGATGAATCCAGCTTAAAAAGAGGAACACATCAAGTGGGTGCTTAGAGAACTTGAAAATCATCAACTTATGGCTTCAAAACTCATTCATCATCAAATCTTGTCAAAGTCAGATTATGATTATAGCAAGCGCGAGGTATTCCTAATAAGAGACATAGTCAGCACTAAGAAAAGAGTACTGGTTGACAAATTCCTTGAACTTTGCAAGTAGCATTTCCAGGATGAAGTTGAAGAGAGTAATATTCAGATCGAGTTGACTTGTGGATATACCAAGGGTGATGATTTTGATGGAATCAAGTGCATTCGACAAACACATAATGGATCGTTTATTGAAAATGAAGATAGTATGGTAGAGATAAATGCAAGTCACGACAAATTCAAAGGAAAGATTTTGATAGTGAATTTTGTTGATTGTGTAGATTATATGAAAATCTACAGTGATGCCTCAAGATCTGAGGAAATTATTGAGCACATTTAAATGGAGGGAGTAGTAGAGATCACAGTAATTGTCTGGACATTTGATTAGCAACAAAACGGAGTTGTGGTTAATCTACCATTCAAGCCGCATTAATATATGGTCAAGCTGGAATTAGAATCAGAAGTCAGTGACTAGTTTCAACTACAATAGCTTCCAAAGCAGATGATCATCAATTCTAATCAAGTCATCTACTTCATAGGTCAGCCATTTGCGAGAGATGTACTTGTAAAGCATATGTTTTATCTTTAATAATACGAGAGAATCATCTATGATGAGGTGAAAAACTTTATTATGGTTAAGTGCAATATCAATGAACTCTAAAGAGTAAGAGTGTTAGAATACATGAAGAACATTAATGCTTCATTTACAGATAATTTGAAGTTTGCTATCTCATGGCGAGTTGATTTTGCTGAGAGAATATCCTACAGTGTGAAGGGTGATGCTAAACGTAGCTTCTATTGTGACATGTTCCTCATTTCATTAGAAGAAAATGCTGACGAGCTTAAGCCAGTTATTGAAACATTATAAACGCTGTCCAATGGGTGGATGAAAATGGATCTCTATCAGACTTTAGTACCAAGGCATAAGATAATTAAAGAAGATATGGCTGTGTAAAAACCTTATTTGTGCAAGAAATGCGGTGATGACTTGGAAAAGCAGACATAGTATCTTTGCCTGTAATGTCCAGAGGCCCCAGTTGTCTTCTATTGCGAGCCATGTGCTACTTACAACCTTTACTATTATATTGAGTATCACAATCAGTATCAGCGGGAAAGACTGATTCATCATAATCATTCCATGATTATTCATCGATATTTGGAATCTCATGAATCAGGGGATAAGTCATTTGCTCTTGAGGATTAAGAAATCCTATTTTAAACAATTAAGAACAACCTAAATGAAATGTATAGTGAGGGCTAGCGAGCAATCACTGAAGGTGACTACAAGGAGTTGGATGTGTTGAAAGCAGATCAGACATGTGATGTTTGCGAGAATAACACGAAAGCTATGCGATTTGTTTGCTTAAACTGCAGATGCTTATCTCTCTGCCAGCAGTGCTATGAAGTGTAAGTAGACAATATATAGAACTTAGATGCCGATGAGGGCAGCTCTGTGATTAGAGAGCATAAAGATGACCATATATTTATAAGAGTGTTCGATTTCTAGGATCTGGATATCAGATTTTGATTGAACTATCACTAATCTTAATACCTATAAAATACATTAATTTTATTAAATGCCTTAATTTCCATTAAATAAACAGGTGGGGTTTTGGGGTTTTGGGGTTTTGGGG